ACAGGTCCGGTCTCGCCTCGAGCGAGGCACAACTATTTCGTGTTTTTCATCGGAGATCCGACGTGCCGCTATCGCTCCGCCATCTGCCTGACAAACCCGCGCCATCCTCATGAATACGTCATATCTATTCTTTTGCCACCGGAGCCATAAACCTGGACCATCCCGCGACTCTCTCCCGTTCCTCCATCTTCCGTTTATTTTCTACCGATGCGAACTCCGCATCGGGACCCTGGAGTATTTCGAGTATGCCAGTTGTGCCCTGAGACTCAACGTATGGAAGTTCAACAAGACTTGAGGACTTGACGACGTCAGTCTGTTTTAATTTGTTTTGAAAAAACTTTTAATTCTTCCGCTCTCCAATCGACTCTGATGAAAGTATTTATCACGCAGATAAGACGCTTGCGGCATAAAAATTCTATTATAATATACATACACATAATTCTAAATTATAAAGGAGAAGAAATATTTTTATATAAAAAAAATTGTGACCAAGTCTTTTTTTTTTTAAACGATGTTTAACTTGTCATTTATAAATTTAACTATTCTTATGTTATGAACTCTGAAAAAAGTAAATACATTTATTCCATATGTAAATTAACAGAAAGTTCAGGAATCAACGAGTTACTTATTTCGGGCATAAAAATTCAGGTATACAAAAATTGAGCAAACAATACATGTCTAATGGTTAGGCGAAAATATTAATGCAGTATAACGCTAATAAGAGGACCGTAATACACTGCGCGGATTAAAACGGTTCGGCGATTTCGCTGTCGCGAGAATCGGCGGAATCGCTTCATTTCCATCGAAATTAAGAGACGGAAACCTCGCGCTCTGCGCTCCTTTGGAAGCGGTCCACCAGCGGGTGAGGGGCACGTCGGAGAATGAACAAATCTAAATGAACGTGCCGGATGATAAAAGGACGTCCGCGAGTATACGCGCGTTTTTATCCGGCTGCGCCTCTGCAACCTAATTGAATGCAGCGCAATCTAAACGGCGTCAATTTGCTGATTCCCCTTCCGCTCTGAATGGCTTTAATGCCCCCGCGTACAGAGAGACAGAGAGAGAGAGAGAGAGAGAGAGAGAGAGAGGGGGGGGGAGTGAGATCGCCACCTGCTGCGGCGGATTTTCTGCGGTCTTTTAATGCCGCGATCATCGGGATTCGGCTCGGTCGAGTGTACTGGGTGCAAATCTTCGTGCAGGACTAAGGCAGGTGTCGGGAAGCGTACTTACAGGTACAGAATTGTTCGCGGAATACAAAACCACCGTCTACACGTGTTCTTTATTATAGCATTGTGATAATAAAATGCGTTTTTTATTTTTTAATTTTTTTTAACATATTCGTTCGGGCGTTTATTTCGCGAAAGCTAAAAATAGTTTAGATTATCTATTGCAGATATAGAATAAAAATAGTACGACAAATATATAAATATTTCTTTACTTTTGTTTAAAGAAATAATTTAAAACCGGCTCTATTAATATAGTATATACATATCTATTCTTTTATGCACTCGGCAGAAATCATATTTCTAGAACATATTGAAAATTGTATTATGGATATTACTTATGCGTGTGGCTAAAGGAATGATTTATACGCCCCTAAAACTACTCAGAAGTTTACATAGCTATGACAAAGAAAATATTCAGTAGGTACTCCTTAGCATACTTAACAATCGTTTATTACAATCTATTGTACGGTGCATTGTCGAGCAATCAACGTTGAACAAGTATAGGATGCTAGGATGCAGTGTACGTGAGAAAACGCACAGGTATAAGTGTCCCGTGTTTGTGAAAGACGCGTGAGGCAGGTATCTACTAATCCTAGGAGGAAAAATGCTCACTGCAGGTGTCAGACCCGGCGCCGGCGCTTGTTCACGACGGACAACCGACCACCCTTTTCTCGGGCCTCAACCGCACATTATAGTCCCTAAGATCTTTACGCAAAAATTATGAGTCAGAGAGGACAATAAACCTACTCGAAACGGAAAAGAGAACGCACATTTTTATTTTAATGGCCCTCAAGAGGAATTGCGGTTTTACGGTTACAGTTTTTGAAGCGATGGCACGCTGGGTAGGTAATAAATAATAATATGCAATAAGATATAGGATCAAAAATTAATAGATTCACAAACAAGACATTCTTAACATTTATATCATTCACGTGTAACATTATTTAACTTATGAGAATTTTTATATTTCTTTTTAATTGTTATTTGCATAAATATCAGAACTCTCATCTCATTTAAGCTTATTTTTAATGTGCAAGTAACTATTTTTTGAGAATATTATTTCTTGATATTCTTCAGTGTACAAATGTATACTACGAATATCAAGAAATTAACATAAGCTTGTATTGAAGTTTGTATAGTTATAAAAGCATGAAGAAGTAGATTCGAGCAAATACAATTGAATCACAAATGAAACTCCGACTCATAAAATAAACTCCAGCACTTGACGCTTGAATGAGAGACATCCATTGCGGAAAAAAAAATTATAAAAGAAATTGTTTCTGACATACTTTTTATCGTTTAAAAAAAACGTAAATTATATAGAATAGGGAGAATATATGAAATACATTCAACTTCCTAGAACTTATAGTGACTGACGTTGACTGTACTTTAACCTTCACTAATTAATGCTATTATCATTTGCTTCATGATTCTCTAGACTGCCGTTTTCGTTTTCTTTTTATCGCACAAATATGGGATTCTCTGCTCAATTAATATATTAAATTCATCACAAAAACGTTTTCAAGGTCCATATTTAGCTACGTCGGTTTGATTCAGATTCGACGATGAGCGATGCACAATACGCGGTGTAAAAAATAGAGTTCCGTTCTAACTGGGGAAAATCAGCGATAATTAAAACGCTCCATCCGGAAGAATCCCACGCCGCTAGCTTATAGCTGTAGTCGAGCACAATGGAGGAACTCATGGCAGGGCCCATAGTCGACGCCTTATTCATACGAGAGGTAGTACGAACCGTTGCGGCATACCCCATCTCTCTGCTCGGTCTTGGGTCTTCTCGCCTTACCCCAATTTAACTCCCCACGCCCCCTCCGCTTTTCTACTTGCCCGCTTTACCGCAGCCTTTACCGTAGGAAGGTCCTTTCCTTCCGTCTCCCGCGTCTCTCTGAATCGTCCACGACCCACCTGTTCTCTCGCGTTTCTACGCTGCGTGATATGACAGGATGTGACTGAGCGTATCGAGAATTTCGAGTAAAACGACGTAAATCGCGTGCAGTTACGCTCAACGACATTTTCCGAAGTGGCATCTCTCTCTCTCTCTTTCTCTCGTGCATTTACAGTGACAATTATTGTCGACGGTTTTCAAACCGTCAATAATAAATATGTCAGCTAATTAGTTCATGTTGAACCTAATTGGTCGGTATGCTCGTAATAAGATGATATCAAGGTGCTGACACCATCAGAAAGTTACGCTTTAGACTAGCAAGCTTTTTGTATTCCTAATGATAAAAAAAATGTTAAATAATTGGACAGCATCCTCCTCTCTCTCTCTCTCTCTCTCTCTCACTCTTTTTGCACGGACGTATCTGTTAAACGTGCTAACGAGCGTAACCAATCGGAACATTTTGCCTCGTTTAGATTGGATATAGCCAACTATTTTGAACCTATAATCAGCGTCTTCGCTTAATACGTGCAATTAGTAATTACATCAGCTGAATACGAATACCCGCTTGAGCGGGCTATATAGAAAGTCTCGATTGACAAGTAATTCGCGGGGCAGACACGGGCAGAAATGTCAACGCACTTGTTACGATCTTTCCTGCGCGCTTCGCTCGTCGTCCTGGCATATACAATCACCAGAACGACCGGATCGAGCGCAACGGTGGAATGAGAAAATAATTGGGCAGCATAAAACACACGATATCGTCGGCGCATCGGTGCGGTGCGGGGGGTGGCGAGGGGTGGCAAGGGGCGGGATGGTGCGGTACGCGGTGAGGCTCGTCGGCGGCGGTGGCGGCGGTGGTGGCGGAAACGCGCCAAGAGCGCCGTGGAAGCGCGCTAGAATATTCACGCTGAAACGCGGCATATAAAATCATAGAGACACGAGTGGCTCGCTATAATAATGCATAAGGAGGCGGGCACTCCTCCGGGACAGGCCACGCCTCGCGGTCCCGCGCCACCCGGTGGGGGGGGGATATCGAGCATCCGCCGGAAGGGGAATAAGACAGAGAGAAAGACGGATCGCGCAGGTGGAGGAGGACGACGAGAGAAACGGAGCGATATACCGGAGCGAGGGGAAGCGAGCGACGAGCGACGCGACGCGACGCGCGCGCGGAGAGAGAGAGAGAGAGAGCACCCCCGCGAGAGAGGATTCCTCTCTCTCCCTTTTCGGGGATCATTCGATCACGCTTCGCCGCGCGCGCGAGCCGCCCTTTAGCCCTTATGATGATCCTGGAATTGCCGTCGCGGAATGAGAAACAATATCGGAAAATCAAAACGCACCTTACCTTTTCTCTACTTATCTAAGGTATAAGCTCTCCAAAATCGAGCCCTCGTGTGCCACGGGCGCCCGGGAGCCCGATACGTGTCGCATCGGCGCGAAACCGTCGATCCGGCGGTCCATCTTTCAAGGGAATACACGCGGGAACGATCGCGCGGAAGGTGCATGCGTGCGGCGTTATCCGGTATATGCGATAATACGCGTGGAGGTCGACTCGCTCTCGTGCACCAAGGGTGGATCTCCCTGTACTCGCGAATGCGGCGCACGGAGAGGGGGGTAGGGGGAAACGGGGGAGGGGGAGGACGCATCGCGAAGGAGGTTGCGCGCCCGCCGTCGGCGGTGCTGGAGTGGGGGGGAGCCGCGCGCGCGCGGGCGGGGTAGGGAGAGCATGGACGGCGAGCCGCGGCGGGGAGGGTGGCGGCGGCGGTTGGCGGGCACCGCGGTAGGGGGCGAAAGCGCGCGCAGGGCATATCTCCTCTCTGCCCCTACCAGCACGGCCGCGTCTCTCCGACTCCGACGGCGGCGGAGAGGGGTGCCCGGTTGTCAGGCCCAGAGCTGGTCCGTCCGTCGTCCGGCCGACTCGAAGCATCGGAGCAGCGGATTTCGCGCGAGATATAGACTCATAAACACGCACGCGTACACGCGTACGCGGCTCGCACCCGCACACACATACATACGCACATACATACACACACATACACACCTACACCCACACACGACACACTGTGTACGGTATCGCACCCGCGAGCGCGCGCGCGCTCGCTCACGTCCGTCATCAACCGGAGCCGGTCATCGCACACGTGTGTATCGCGAACAGTGTGGTGTGGGACACACATCGTGCGCACACGTCCACCACGGTTATTACCCGCGCGCGCGACGAGGCGGCTCTCTCACGTTCTTCCCGGTTACGCGTTTACGGTCGCGACACGGGCGTCTCTATACCTGCCGCGCGTCGGGAATGCCGCCGCCGGTCTCGCGTCACCATACGGTCGCGATACGCCGGACGAGCCGACCCCGTTTCGAGCGGTAATCGAAACAGCGCGAGTAACCGGGTGTGTGTTGTGAGCGATCGTGGTCCGCGAGTACGCAACAGCTGCGAAAGAGAGAGAGTTACGCGACCAGCCAAACGGACAGCCGAGTGAGCCGAGAGACAACAACAATCGGGACAACGACTCGGAGCAGCGGAGAAGACTTTCGGAAGCGGAGCGCGAGAGAGGGAGGATAGGCGCGGGCCACGTGCGAGATCATCCAGCGAGAGAAGAAGCGTCAGCGTGTCTCAGTGCGTCAAGTCCCGTCTTCGGCGATCTCGCGGAGGAAAAAAAAACATTTCGTCCCCGTCGCGCATCTCGCGGGGGATGGGTTAGGGGATCGGTGGCGTTAAGCCTCTCATGGATTACTGGCCGAGTTGACACGCTCACCGGCCGGCGGGCAGGAGGAGTCCAACTCTCTCTCTCCCCTTTGACGCGACGACCCGCGTATATGAAACGCTTCGCGAAGTGCTCCGCGTCGCTACGGTTCGCGGGGAGAGATGCGTCTCCCGTAGGTAGTTAGTGCCGATGGTGAGGTACGCGGGTAACGAACGTTGCGTCTTCTCAGCCTCGGTTGTCGCTGCGCGGGATTAGGGAGATAGAGACAGAGAAAGAAAAGTGTGTGAGCGAGAGAGAAAGAGAGAGAAAAGAGACAGAGGGAGACATGCGGTTCGCACCCTCGACGCTGCAGCGACGTCGTCAACCGCCGTTGTCCCGTCGACGACGTCTAGACTGACCACGCATTCGTCTGCTTTTCGTCGGGATCCCGAGGCGGAGGAGGCGGAGGAGGAAGAGGAGGAGGTGGAGGAGGAGGAGGATCCACGAGAACGAGTGCACCGGCACCGGTGGCGGCGGTCGTTCGTACCGACCCGATCCAAACCGTCGGCGGACGACGACTGCCTCTTGGACGCACGGAGTGCGAAGAGCGACGAGGAGTGCGCGGCGGAACTGATTCAACCGAGTCGGAGGGATGTCACGGAGAAAGCAGGCCCGACCGAGTCGTGCTCATCTTGAGGAGGATCTTGTCCAGAGGCCTCTGTTGACCAATCCCATTGGAACTGTCGCGGGCAATATCCGTAAGTGACTCTTTTTCCCGAAGGATTAGTCCGGATAAGAGAGATTAGCCTCGTTCGGGATACGTTACAGTAGTTGCCTCCCCCTCCCCCCCATGCTCAGGTTAGGTCAAATTGCTTTTGAATACATTCGCGGACGATGGGAAGAAAGCGGATGAAATCGTAGACGCGACTGTTGGGAGAATTATAGGGAAACGAGCTCTCTACGATATAAAATGATTTATCTTGAAAGAAACGTTTAGTATGTTGATACAGAATCCGCCGTACTTCGTTTCGCGATCGAAATATTAAGTTAAAGCTGAATTATCAAAATTATCAGAATTATTATAAATATATCATTCTAGCACTTGAAAATGGGCGAGACAATCATGCGCCACTGTGCCCATAAAACGTTTCAGAACGCCAATGTATGATAAGAGTGATAAAATACTTATAAAATACAAAATAAAACTTCTGATAAAATATCTCCTATAAAATATAAGCGATAAAAACAATGCCCGGAAAAGTGCACGATGTATATAACGCGAATTTCTTACAATCATAAAAATTGCGTCTAGCCACATTAGTTGCTTTCCATTTACACTCAAGTTATCTGAGTCAGTTATGTGAGTATTTTATGCTCAGGTAAAATATGTCATTTTGTATTTACCTGCTTATTTCGATGACAAAGCTATCGCATAATAATATACAGGTCCATAGCCTCACTTTTAATGTGAGTTTATTAGAGTCATTAAAGCACATGGCCTCGATTGTGGATAAAAACTTAGTTGAATCTTGCCAACATACAAAAAGAACGTGCATTTAACTGAGTTATGACGTCACAAGTGAGAATTATCTGAGTTTTTGATGTAAATGGAAAGCAACTATTAATAACGTAACGTTAATAACATCCTTCTCGCAAAAGTTATAGTCCTTCCCCCTCTAAACGTAATACACAAGCTCGAAACAAACTGTTGAGCCAAAGAGTTATACGACTTAGCCGGTACTTCGGAGCACAATAACGCGATAAGAAAGCGCGCCCCGGAGATGCGGTAACGGTTTACGATATACGGGCAGGCCCGAGGATGCTGCTGGAAACTAGTCCGATACACGTGAGAAAAACGGAGCGGCGATTACCCGCGGCCGCGTTTGACCATTTATCGTGTTTATCGACGCCATTGGCGGCATTTCGCGGTGGGAATCGCACAATTACGCGCGGCACGAGGACGATACGGAGAGATACGGAGGCTTATAGAGACACGCGGCGAGGGTTAAATTTCATAAATTAACGCCGTCGCGCGAGAAAGACGCGGCGAAGTCAGCGAGATATGAGATGCGAAAATCTATCCCGAGATTAATCCCAACGTTTCCCGTAATACAGTTGGCACGCTAAATGCACTGGAACCCGATTCACGCAAGCACTTTCCGTCGGACTGAAACGCGTCTGCCTCTTCTCGGGGATCCACCTCGATAAAACGGACCTGCCTCGGCGTAACATCAAAGCGAGCCTAAGAAACGGCCGATAAAACACTTCCATCTTGCTGCCCGATCCCTCCCCTCCGACCATAAGCTCCTCTCGCCGCATTTTCGAGTACGCTTAAATCGCACGAGAATTACACTTTGCGCGAAGATCGCATCACGGGTTGTAATACATGACGCTTCGCATTTCGGTGATCTTTACACGGCATTAATCTCGCTAATAAACTTACGGTGTCTGCGAAACGTAATGTTAATTTCGAGCTTTATATCTGAATAATAAAATTGTGCCATAACGTACACGCGTGCCGCAACGTTAAACTAAGATTTTTAAGGCCAGTAAATATAATTAAAAAAAAATAAATAAAAATTGATAAATGTCAAGAACAAAATTTAAAATTGCTTGCGCAAATCTCATGTATCTCCAAACGTCTACATAGATTGACTGTCAAACATGGAAAATTTAAGGCGCGGCGCTTTTTATCTGAGTCTATAAACTTTATCGGAGATATTTACATTTTTTCCCATTAAACATAACCAGAACTTCTTCGATCGTGGGGAAGAGCGAGGGAAGGGGGAATAAGAACACGTTACTATAAACCGCTCGGTTTTACTGAATCCACGTACCTGACATCCGTGTATCCATTTGGTACATGTACCATTCGCAGACATCACGTCTAAACAGGAAACGTTTAATGCTGGACACGGCTTAACCTGGCCGATAAAAACGGATATTTCGTAGAGGAGCCCTGGAAAATATTTTTCAGAACGATATCTCTCTCGTAGGAATACGTGTGGAAAATGTATCGGCGGTCGCGTGACGAATGAAATTTCAATAACGCCTCCCCTGCATATCGGGTGGCGCCGTACGGATGGTCTTAATTTGCCCAACTTTTTCAATTGTAAGTTTCCGCACAGTTCCGCACCCCGCTGTTGTACTCTCTGAATAGTTGGAACATCTCGAAAACAACATAAAGCGCGTCTCATTCCTGGCGCGTGTACGTGACAGGTCGGTTTCTTGCTGAGTCAGAAGCAAAATCGAAAATGTCTGTGGATACCGCGGTAACGATAAGTCTAGCCGTGTTACCAAAGTTTATCTAAATAATGCGCTAATTACAATTCGTCATATTCGTCGAGTTTCTCTGACAGATTCGTCTTTCGATGTAACGGGAAGATTTGATAAGAGCTTATCGAAATAGCTTATCAAATGTCATAATTTATTTTTATCGCGCAACACACGTCGGTATGTTTATTTAGTTACCTATCTACATTTTTCTAGATTGCAATAATAAATTGAATTATCAGTATATGATATTGCGGACATTAATTGAAAATAATATTGATAAGTGAAGAAATATTCATCAACTTTACCGATTGCCCAAGTTTCTCTACATCACGCAATACGAAAATGAAACATTAATTATGACAAGCAGATGGAATGATGTTTGGTGCAGCCTGTTTCATAAAATAATTACATTAATGTTCTCTTCTGATAAAAATTTGACAAAAAAAACTTTCTGGAGAGGAGGCTTAAAATTAGAGGATACATATTTCTTTACTTTATACGAAAGTATTTTTTAAATTCTGTATTACTATGTCAAATAGAACGTCTTATTACCGTCTGTTTTTGCCAGTATTCACAAGTGTTTTTTTATCTTATACATTATAGATACAGTCATAAGTAAAACAATGACATTAATTATATTTAATATATTTATCGTATTTTACAATAATAAATCATATATGTATATATCGTCAATAATAACTAAAATTATCGGTCAATGCTTGGCGAAAGACAGTAATGTTATACTAATGATATTTAATATCATTACGTATCATAATCGAGCATAGATCATTTCCTGATCAAGACTCGGAAATTACCGTTTCTTACGGTCGGCCTTCGCGTTCAAAGAGACATAACGAACATTCATGAATCATAAGCATGAAACGCAGTATTCACAAATCAATTTACATTTCTTTCGCTGTTATCTTAATGTTATACATACTACGAAAATATGAGCGACCATCCGATGTATCAACGGGTCGTTGTATTAAACAGATAAAGCGATTAATATATCGAGACAAAGTTACGGTAGGTGTAATAAGTATTTATCATAGCGATCAATTTCAATAAGAACTGTATCTCGTCTGTTTATTTATTATTTCATAAAACAAATAATTTTACGTGTTTCTAGAGATATCTCTAGAATAAATATTAAACAAGACTATGCCTTTTTATGAAAATGTATTGAGAATTCAGAAATTGATAGAAACAGACGTGTGATAAGAATGCATATATATATATATATATATATAATATATATATATATATATATCTCAGTTTTTATTTCATAAGATATAAATACAACATGAAGACATGGTAATGTAAATAAATTATATCAGTTTATTTGAAAATATTATCAAGAGAAATAGTGCTCGAAACTAAATCATTATTAATCATTGTCACGAAACGGTGCAAAGACAACGAAAGAAAGAAAAATTTTATTTTAAATTTAGGCTATTGCGAAGCACTCAATGAAATTTCTCGCATTGTTGACGGACCACAATCTATATGATTTATACATTTGTTATTTGTAAATTATTCCCATTTATGTAGGTATACGCTATACGTAATAAAATATACGTAATGTGACGTTAAATACATTAAAATGTGCAATTAAAATAATAGTAGAAGCTTCTCTAACCCGCCGTACATATTTTCCGATAAAAGAGGGAGGGGAAATTATTAGAAATGATATTTTATCGCAAAGTAATATCGAAGAAAGCGGAGATATCTGACCGTACGTTACGATCGTTTGGGAATTGGACGAAGCTTAAGGATATTGGAGTAGCGCCAAAGCTCGCGCTCGGACAGATAGGATTATATATCGTTCACAGGTGTATAAAAATTACGCGGATTACGCGGCGTGTTCGCATGTACGACGTGTCATTTCTCAGGCCGGAGGGAATGTTCTAATACAGCGATCTGTCTTTTCGGGAATCGTCAAGGGAGTGCGTTTTGAAAGCCGTTTTCCCTTTAAGCTGTCAGTGGGATATGCTGACGTGAAAAAGATCGTTGACAGACGAATAGAGAAGTTTCGTCGTGTGTGTCCGTCATGAGGACGGGCGGAGGAGCGGACGGGAAGCTGTCTGCCGGCGTCGGACGGCGGCTAATGTGTGACAAGTAACTAAGAACCGTCTAACCGTCTGACTTGCACTGACTGCATATTAATAGATCCTAATACGCGCGCTCGCGCATTGCTCTTAAGCCCGGCATCATTATGTCAGCCGTTTGTCCCCCGAAATTATTAAGACCCATCCGCACGGTGCTTGCATTCCGCGAGCGTTCGGGACAATGCGATTCCGACGACGCGCGATTTCGATACGCGCGAATTAATTCTCCAAAATATCAATAAGGTACTAATGGAACGGGTCCATCTGCCGCGCGAATTTATCATCTCCACGGGACAGCTGCCGCTACTTACAGCTTGTCACGAATGTAAATGAAAATATGTCCGCGTTGAAATACGCGTTTCATATTCGTCATC